TAATTTAGCACAGAAAACAATAAAATATGATAATTAAAATCGGAAAATTTTACATTATATACTTTTAACAGGTAAATTACAAAGGTCAAGGGTTTAATTTACGATCTTGATTGTAATTTGAAAGTACAAAAAATACAACAATTCTTTATGTTTTTCGAATGTTCGTATTCGGTAGTGTTTCGAGTATTCAAATATAATTCCCGGCCCTATATTAATTCTTGAATCAATTGTGGCTTACAGTTTCAATATGCATATCCACGAAATCACATGACGAGGGAACCACCGCAAAAAAATAAATAATAATTAACCTTTCTTTCCTTGTTGGACTTGTTTATCATATTTTACAGAAAAAAGTTTATAGAAATTATCGATGGAAAATATGTGTTTTGATTTAATGCAAATGTTGAGTACTCTTTAAGGGGCGATAACTTTTCCACTTTCTCTTCAACTTAAATATTTCTATCTTAAATTGATAGTATCCTAAACAAATGATAATTTCGCACAGGGTTGATTCCGTATAATTTGATGATGGGCGACTTAATTCTTACACTCCTGCCAATCTAGGTAAATATAGTACCATCAGAATAAAATTGAAAATTAAAACATTTCACAGACCATTTTGTTATACTACTACACCATTTTACAAAAATGACTTTATTTTTCTTTGGATAGCAAATAAATATACCCATTACTCATTATACCAAGATTTTACGCATTTTTGGGACTAGCCGTTGTTAAGGGCCGAGTGGGTTAGGGGCGAAACGTCCTGTTTGCTCGAGGTGATCTGGTTGCGTTTAACGGAATCTTTTACAAATAGCAAGGTTATAAGGGTGCCCTCCATAAAATTTGTACCAATGCATCTCCTATCATTTCCTTGTGAGAATTGTAAGGTCCTTCCTTAGCAGTCCTTTATCATGCAGACTGCATTATACTAGAAGAAACCAGAAACTAAAAATGTAATTGCACACATATTTATACATAATGATGGGAATTTAAAAGTTAGATATAGTTATCAAGTAAAGTCTGTTATTTATGTAATTATAAGTTTATTGTAATATTCCGCTTTTCATGGAATGGTACTAACGTGTCACATTGAAGGTTCCATGATAACCACCATATGAAAACATATGCAGATGTTTCAAAATTCTGATTTTTACCAGTTCATGTAAATTATTGAATATTTTTTAAGCCGGTGCTAGGGAACGTGGACGGTAACTTGCACTTACCAGTACCGTCCATGAACAGGTTCAATCAAACCGAGCCTGCAACATTTTCAATTTTGCCGTGTTGGGCTTTCTCTAGGGATTATTATTTCTCTATTTTATATAACTACCACTCAAGCTTTATTATTATTATTTAGCGTAAATAATTATATTTGATCCTTGATCTCATAATTATTGTCATTTTAAAATGTCATATATTTTCATTAACACGACCCGTGGTTGCAAGAAATGATATTCCTTGCGTAAACTATGAAATTAAAAAAAATATTTCCTTAAAATGTCTTCTCCCATGTATAAATAAATGAAAATTTGTTTCAAAGAAAAAAATATTGATAATATTTTGCCATGGCAAACTTTTATGTAATTGCCATGGCAAATTTTTGCCATGGATATACCATGGCAAATTTTTGCCATGGAATTGCCATGGCCATTTTATTTCCATGGCAAAAATTTGCCATGGCAAAATGAAAAAAGTTAGAGATTGCAATAAAAATATAACAGTAGCACCAAGAACATGTCAACAGGATAAGTTTTAGAATGTTTTGTGATGTTTTCAAAAAATAATTGCCATGGCAAATTTGCCATGGCAAATGTAGGAAAAAACTTGCCATGGCAATTCTAATTGGCCATGGCAAAGAGTGTTTTGCCATGGCAAAATGCCGAAATGCAAAACACTCTTTACCATGGCAAATGCAAACTTTAAATGCATTTTTACAAAAAGTATTAAAGATAGAAAAACAAAACATAGCAAGTCTTGTAGTTGTTTGTCTTACTGAACTATTATGCTCTAAAGTCATGAAGTTGTTTGTCTGAACGAACTATTATGCTCTAAAGTCTTGTTGTTGTTTGTCTGACTGAACTATTATGCTCTAAATTCATGAAGTTTTTTTTCTGGACGAACTTTTATGCTCTAAAGTCATGTAGTTGTTTGTTTGACCTAACTATAATGCTCTTAAGTATTGTAGTTGTTTGTCTGACTGAACTATTATGTTCTAAAGTCATGTAGTTGTATGCATAACAGAACTATAATGCTCTAAGGTCATGTAGTTGTTTGTCTGACCGAACTATAATGCTCTTAGGTCATGTAGTTTTTTGTCTGACTGAACTTTTATGCTCTAAGGTCTTGTAGTTGTTTGTCTGACTGAACTATTATGCTCTAAAGTCCTGTAGTTGTTTGTCTGACCGAACTTTAATGCTCTTAGGTTATGTAGTTGTTTGTCTGACTAAACTATTATGCTCTACGGTCATGTTGTTGTTTGTTTGACCAAACTTTTATGCATTGAAGTCATGTAGTTGTTTATCTGACTGAACAGTTATGCTCTAAAGTAATGTAATTGTTTGTCTGACCGGACTATTATGCTCTAAAGAAATGTAGTTGTTTGTCACACTAAAATGTTATGTTTTCAAGTAATGTAGTTGTTTGTCTGACTGAACTATTATGTTCTTAAGTCATTTAGTTGTTTGTCTGACTGAACAGTGATGCTTTTAAGTCATGTAGTTGTTTGTTTGACGAACTATTGTGCTCTAAAGTAATGTAGTTGTTTGTCTAACTGAACTATCATGCTCTTAAGTTGTTTGTCTAACTATGTATATTACTGGGATTATCCGGGACGATCGTGGGGTGAAATTATTGTTGCGGTCACTCTTTACCCGACAGCACTACGCTAATTCCCAACTTACCACTCAGGATGCGCTCCGGACCATCCAGGCAGAGCCCAGGTGAAGTTACTGTTCATGCCGGTGCTTCCCCGGTCGTTTCTGGATGACGCCGGAAGAGCCCCTGTTGATATAGGCAGAGCCCCGGTCGATCCATGCAGAGCCCGGGACGTTCTAGGCAGAGTTCCGGTAGAACCCCTGTGCATTGAAAAAGCGCGAAAATGATTACATTAATACGTAATTTTTATCTTTTATTATATCTGAAAAATCCTAATGCAAGACTGGATTAAAGTGAAATGGGAAGGGTTTTAATACAAACAAGTGAAATCATCGCAAATTTGCGTGATTCTTTTGAAATGAACCGGGCTTTGCCGGGGCTCTACCGGGATCAACCGTAGCTCCATCGTCATTTTACGGGGCTCTGCCGGCATCCTCCGGGGCTCTGCCGGCATTCACCGGGGCTCTTCTGGCCTTCACCGGGTCTCTGTCAGTATTCACCATGGCTCTACCGTAGCTCTTCTAGCTATATCATGCCCAATTTTACTCTGATTTCAAAGTACTGAAGTACAGATAAGCTGGTTGGCAGTTTATGATCAATTTGCAAAATTACATAATGTTTTAGACAATGTTCCCAGATTTTTGGAAATGAAAATATAGATAAATTTTACTGCATTGTCCTAAAGGAACAAAGGAAAACAGTATCTCAACCAATATAATTTTGCTATTTTAAGACAAGTTTAAATTATCAGTAACAACAAACCTTGATTTCGTGAACTATTTTCATACCATGACCTTGACCTTTATGACCTTTGTCTTGACTTTTAATATTCGTTATGCTATGTTAGTTTTATGTTATATTTTCATGTAAGTTGTAATGTCCATTTAAAATTTTGATAATAAATTATACATAAAATGTTCACATTTGACATTCACATCTTCAGTACATACAAAAATGTGGAATCAACCTTGATTGATGTTAAATTTCAGAATCTAAATCAATTGTAGGCAAATTATTTTGGTGTTGTTGAATGATGTACACTTCAGTTATCACTTTGAGTTTTGTTTTGATATTAAGTTGTAAATAGTTGTTACTCTTTTTAAAAGAAAGGATAATTAATCAAAATAACTTTTAACGAGATTTTATTTGCAAATGACATTGAAATGACCTTGACCTTGACTTTGAATTGATTGCTTTAATATGTTGATTAAAAGTACCTATTCATAGAAGATATAAACATGCAATCATTATTTGATATCTTTGTAGATAAGAAAACTACATGTGACATTTCCTCCAATAAACAAATTTTGACGCCATCTTGGATTTCTCAGCCCGCACCGCACAAAGAAAAATTATGCCACCATTTTGTGATATAAGAGATATATTTTATCATTTTGGTATATAATACAATTTGTTTTATTGTTATGAAAATTTCACTTATATTCAGCACTTATTGTCCCCGTACTACATGTATGTGTTACTGAGTCTCATTGTTTCCGCTGTCAAGCTAAAACAAATGTCAGTTCATTTCATCACAAAGTCAAAAAGATAAAAGTCCTCCCCACTCATATTATCACTTAACTGTACAAATAAGATAGGAAACTTCCGTGAGTCATTACGATGTTTATAAAAAGGTCTTTTATTAATATTTAGTTTAATCTTAAATAATGATAATGATGAGGAAATTTAATAAGTGAACCAAATGACCAATTGTTTCCCTCTTCCTTATTGAATCGTTGTTTGATTTTAGTCATCATTTCACCGTGTTTTCAGAATAATATTATTTTTATACTAACAAAAAAAATGTTTTTACATAGTAGGTTCTTTTAATGACAAATCATGACTCATTGTGACTTTATCGTAAATATATGCATACCACACACTAAATTATATGATATTATTTAGTATTGACGTTACTATCATCTCCACTAAGCATCAATTATCATGACTTATAAGCAGGCGTCCGTGCTCGAGTGGCTATGGACATTGACTTCAAATCATTTGCCCCTCACGACTGTGTGTTCGAATCCCGACAACGATTTTGGATTATTTTCTGTCCGGAGCTATCCAGCTACATAATTAAACATCGGTGGCCCAACTCAGATACCCGTTCGTGCCTGAAATAATGCATGGAAGTGAACGTGAGGTCTTTCTTTAAAACTGGTAAAATCGCAATATAACCTATACTTTAGGTGCGACGTGACCCTAACAAGATTTATGATAATTAATAATAACAGAAAGACAGTAAATTCATTAAAAAAGTAATAACTGATATCAGCCCTAGATAGGAATTGTTATATCTCACAACAAGATGAACTGCATATACATTGTACTTTTTAGCCTCAACTTATATTTTAACATTAGACGATTTTGGACACGATACTGGATTTACAGAGCAACCCTTTAAAAATCGAAAAAAGGAACATGATTGCCTTACATAATCGTGGACGTTCAGGTGGTAAAATACGCCAAGCCAATGTTCCGAAAAACAGACAACCAAATCCATATTTGAGAAAGAAATCAAAAGATGCATCTAGCAAACGAAAAATGCGAAGTCATTCACCAAATAAATACTTGCCTGCTAGGTCATTGAATGATCTTCTTAACCATATATCATTAGCTATTGACAAAAATGAGTTAAAGACTTTAAAACTGATCCTAACAGGTAAATACACATTGTTTAAAATAGTGTTATGTTTTCATACTACATGTCAGATTATGTAATAAAATCAATGGAATTATTTAAAATAGAAGAAGAAAATATCAAGTTAATTGCATACAATTTCCACGGGGATTAACACTTTTTATTACAAATAATATCTGAGATATACGGTGTTCCGTTTGGACACTTTTGGACAATCGTGACATTTTATTTATTCTGTACCCGCGATGCACGATGGTACGATGGTGAAAACGCGATGGCACGATGGTACGATGGTGAAAACACGATGGTACGATGGTGAAATCACGATGGTACGATGGTGAAATCGCGATGGCGCGATAGTATGATGGTGAAAACGCGATGTTACATCGCGTTTTCACCATCGTACCATCGTGATTTCACCATCGTACCATCGCGTTTTCACCATCGCACCATCGCGCTATCGTGTTTTCACCATCGTGCCATCGCGCTTTCACCATCGTGCCATCGCGATTTCACCATCGTACCATCGCGATTTCACCATCGTACCATCGCGATTTCACCATCGTACCATCGCGTTTTCACCATCGTACCATCGCGTTTTCACCATCGTGCCATCGCCTTCCGGTGGACATGCGCATTGTACATCTTTATCAACAATGGATGAATGCATAACTATGTATTATGTGAGAGGCAATACGTATCGAGACATTTTAAATATAGTGAGCTTAAAACGGGATTTGATCTCAGCACAGACTTTTTAATAAGTGTTGTGTATTAAGATTCAATCATTATAAAACCTTTATGCACTGTGCTTAATTCATCTTGTCTAGATATCTATAACTCAAATTTTTTAAGGTTTTATTTCATAAATATGATGCTCAAATTAAGAAAAGTTTCAAAAAGCATTAGTTGTAAAGATGTTACCGAATTTAACATTTCATGTAAATAAAGGGAGGTAATAAAAAATTATTTTCTGTAAAGTCTAAGTCAAATTTTTCAATAAGAAATGAATGCATATATTTTAATGATTACATATAATATGTATAAATATTTGCAGTACATATTTTACATATTCTCGATGTTTGAAACTTGTTTTATATTAAAGCATTATTATATAAATATATATAATTTCACTGAAGTGTGGTGTTAGCTCAACAGGTACAGCGTTGGACTGTGAATCGGGCAATCGGGTTGGATTCCCCCCGACGGGTGCAGGTCACTTTCGTTGTGATTGATCATGAAATCCTTTCTACGGTCATTGACACTGGTCTCTGCTCTGCAGAAGTTTCAGTTCCTTGCGAAAGTGAAGGCAACTAGTACTTGTAAAGTGCTTGACAGCCTGCCCAGTAACTTGTGTATCCGACAAGACTCTTACTGCCATCTTAAGCTTTTAAATAGATAAAGAAAGAATGTATACTGTACCTGTATCGCTGCTTCAATCTTGCCGAAGTCCAATGGTTGTCTTCTTTTCAAACCTTATCTCTTTAAGTGTCCTTTCAGTTGACGAAAACTGAAACAGAATGTCGCAATATCTGTACTGAAAATACATTTTATTTTTATATCACGAACTTTTTTTTAATTTGCCACAAGACATGATCGTTGAATATGTACGCAGAAGACAAACGAGGGCCTATGTGGGTCTCGGATGAAGCTGGATAAATGTAACGTGACGTTGACTTTAAACTTTGTTATCATTAATTGAATATAAGTATTGAAAATGTATTGTTTATACATTTTGATCAATGTATCGTGAAAATCATGAATATCTTCAGGCGATAGCTGTTTGTTTGTTTTTTTTCTTTTTTCATTTCTCATGATAATTATTTATTTTCATCTTACAAATGCCTTAAAAATAAGATCATGTCATGTGTTAAAATTAACAAATATTCACCACTGTTATGTATACTCATGTGTTATATTATATGTAACTTGAGTTAATGTTCTGTACTTTTCTGATAATGTACTACATTTATGTACAAATCAAAGTAAAATAACGTTTTCTTCTGTTCTGTTATGTTATTTAATTGATTACAGAGGCAAATCTGAGAATTCAATCATAATCTATAACAATAAAATCTGAAAGTAATTGTAATTAAGTAAATTACTGATCAATCCCCAGGTCTGGCACTGGAACCTATGCTCGGATTATAGCGCCGAATTTAAATTTTTTGCAGTAATAATTAATCTTCCATAGTAATATAATATTCTTTGACTTTAAATTCCCAATTGGACCAGGTCAAGGGCAAACATTTCTCACTTTAAGACATACACATTCTAATAGTCTCGGGAAATAGAATTATCTTATCTATATGTATGAGCTCTTGATGCATAATTTTCTGGCTCAGTATTTTCTTTAATTTTCCTTTTATTTTCATTTTGTTTTATAATTTACTTTCTAATACCTGAACGTATTGTGATTTTTCATTCTTCCATATCCAAGCAAGAATAATTGGAAAAAAACACATGACAGCTATACCAAAAGACAATTTTGTACCGTTCTAAAGATTTTGTATGTTGTAATTGAGGTTGTACACCCGTGGTGGTTGTGGTGATAGTTTTCACTTCCGATCATGACAGTAAGCCACATTGAATTCACAAGAGCACAGTTCAACCACCGCATTTTCCTCGGCAGGCTGTCAAGCAGTTTTACCAGTACTAGTTGCTTCTCTTTCGCAAGGAACTGAAACTTCTGCAGAGCAGAGACCAGTGTCAATGACCGTAGAAAGGATTTCATGATCAATCACAACGAAAGTGACCTGCACCCGTCGGGGGAATCCAACCCGATCGCCCGATTCACAGTCCAACGCTGTACCTGTTGAGCTAACACCACACTTCAGTGAAATTATATATATTTATATAATAATGCTTTAATATAAAACAAGTTTCAAACATCGAGAATATGTAAAATATGTACTGCAAATATTTATACATATTATATGTAATCATTAAAATATATGCATTCATTTCTTATTGAAAAATTTGACTTAGACTTTACAGAAAATAAATTTTTATTACCTCCCTTTATTTACATGAAATGTTAAATTCGGTAACATCTCTACAAATAATGCTTTTTGTAACTTTTCTTAACTTGAGCATCATATTTATGAAATAAAACCTTAAAAAATTTGTGTTATAGATATCTAGACAAGATGAATTAAGCACAGTGCATAAAGGTTTTATAATGATTGAATCTTAATACACAACACTTATTAAATAGTCTGTACTATGATCAAATCCCGTTTTAAGCCTCACTATATTTAAAATGTCTCGATACGTATAGCCTCTCACATAATACATAGTTATGTTGATAAAGATGTACAATGCGCATGTCCACCGGAAGGCGATGGCACGATGGTGAAAACGCGATGGTACGATGGTGAAAACGCGATGGTACGATGGTGAAATCGCGATGGTACGATGGTGAAATCGCGATGGCACGATGGTGAAAGCGCGATGGCACGATGGTGAAAACACGATAGCGCGATGGTGCGATGGTACGATGGTGAAAACGCGATGGTACGATGGTGAAATCAAGATGGTACGATGGTGAAAACGCGATGTAACATCGCATTTTCACCATCATACTATCGCGCCATCGCGATTTTACCATCGTACCATCGTGATTTCACCATCGTACCATCGTGTTTTCACCATCGTTCCATCGTGCCATCGCGTTTTCACCATCGTACCATCGTGCATCGCGGGTACAGAATAAATAAAATGTCACGATTGTCCAAACGTGTCCAAACGGAACACCGTAGAGATATGAATAAACATTGAGAAAGTATTATGTGAATACATGGAAAGACACAGCTACCTTTCTAATTTTAGCATTGTCTTTGTCAAACACACAAGTTGCATCTATAGGATAATAGATAATCTTAGTTTCATAATTAGAAACAATAGAGTTTGGATGTTGTTCACTAATGTGATGTCATACAGAAAGCATGTAAAAACTGGTATCTGCAACACAGGCATAAATATGTTGTTTCTATCATATTCTACATAAGATTTAACTATAGCTAGTTTTTGTGGTATCTTTTCAAATAATGAACTGTTACATACTTGAGCAATTTTCACGGTCACACTTTTGATATCGATTCTAAAAAACAAAAAGAAGACTTAATCAGTCATGCGCTTGTCTGTTAAATATTGTCTGTACTTAAAAGTGCTTTTTTTGTTATACATATAGGTCCCGAAAAAATCAGCGGAAAGCTTTTCGAGGAATACGATACGTGTCGTGATCTGTTTACAAAACTCAGACAAAATGGGCATATTTCGGAGAATGATGTTTCGATTTTGTTTAGAATTCTCTTTATTTTGGGAAGAAAAGATCTACAATGTGACGCAGAACAGTACACTGTAGATAAAGCTGTCCCTTATGCCTATAGTATAATGTTACGTAAGTTTTCATTTTACATTTTCGTTTTCTAATATTAATTCCTGAAATTGTACGTTTAACATCTGTTCTGGCATATAATTCTTAGCATTTCTTATTGGAGTGATATTCTTTAAAAAAAAACAAACTAGTGTACGTCTCAAAACCCGCTCTAGTGTGTACAGTTTATCATTGTATATTTAAAGAATTCTAAAGAATATTGATAAAATACATTTCTAAAGTAGTGTTGTTCGCACGAACGAACCATTATCATGTTCTTTAATCATTAATTGATAAATTATCAACTCAATTCAAATTGCGGCCGATTAGCAGCAAATGAAAACAAAGTATTTCATCAAAATAATGTTCTTATTGACTCTGCGGTTTCACGTGTTGATATTAGATGCATGGTAATTGTGTATGCTTTTACTCTCAGCATTTCCATATTTGTCTGACCAGCAACGACTTAATGCGATATGGAAAAGAACGGGTAAAAAGGGAAAAATCTATGAAGAATGTGAGAAGATATGCAAACTTATTGAAAGTATATCTAACTCAATTTTGCACGTTTGGCCGGCATACGACACAAAGGCAAATGATGATATCGTGTTTGTTGTTCTGACTAAAAGCATTGAGGACAAATTGCACGTTGAAGAGAAACTTGGAAATATTGGCTATAATATCTTTGTGAAAAATATTGATTCAACCGGAAAAGAATCGGAAGCAGTTTTGCAAAAATTGAACAAGCTAAAAAAAAAACCACAACCACTCACTTACTCTCAAAAAGAGGATATTAAAGTTGCTATCAGAAAGAACTCTGACCGACTTCTGCAAAATCATCAATATCTATCTGCTATTTCAGGAAGTAATGTTAGGTCTAAAAACTTCATGTTAAAACAATCAGAGTATCGCGTCCCCTTCCAGCCATGTATCGTGTTATATGTTATTGCAAAAGGTAAAATTCCATTGCACGAAAGTAAATTTGAAAATCATATAGATGGTATTCCAGTGGATGTCAGAGAGGGAATATTTGAAACAACGACTTTGCCATTTGAAAAATATACCAGACCTGTACAAATGGGCTGTCAAATTACTTCAAATGACACATCTCCCTCATATGGAACATTGGGCGGGTTCTATTACCATAGTGACTTTGGACTTTGTGGTATCACATGTGCTCATGTTGTGTTAAATTGGGATAATATGAATAAACTAAAAGGAGAAAAACAAGTCTTGAGTTCGGCTTCACCCATGGTTTTTCAGCCGGACACAACAAGACCGAGGCATCAACTTGGCCCTGTGAAAGAAGTAGTTTACAGAGAAGGGAATGAGAAATCAAGTGGCATAGATATGGCTATTTTCAAATTAGAAGACAATGCTCCCGAATCGGGTCGTTTTCCAGGTTCAGGTATTAAGCCAAAAAGTTACTTAAAAAGTGGCAATCGTTTCGTTTGAGTGCAATTTAAACAGAAACATTTAAACGAAACGTGATAAAATGCAAAATAATTTCTACGAGTTTATCACGTTAAGTGAAAATATATTCTATAGTTAATAACTTGTTTTATTTAATTTTGCATTTAATCAAATGTTAACGAAAACTCCTTTTTACTACGCAGCTGCAATCGTACATCGGTGACACAGTTCACTACAGTATTTGTCACATCAATCTTGGACCAATTGTCAACTGTCCTTTTGAATACATAACCATATAATTTCTGACAATGATAGCAAAAACGACTGACTGCCACAGAAAAATAAACATCCAAGAAAAAGTCCCACAAATAAATATTGAGTTTGACCCATTTTCATATTTTTTTTGTATATATTATTTAATAAATAATTACGTTTGATTTAATTAACATATATAACACAATTTGCGTTACTTAATACCATTGTCCTTTATATTCGAGATTATACATAACAGTAAAACATTAACTATAGAGTGTAAGTTTAGAAATATAATATTTTATTTTATGATAGATTTTGAGTTAATTGTGTTTTATTGTCTTGTCAGAGATTTGCTTCGAAACTGGACGAACGCTTGGAACATCTGGCCTTAGATACAATACTCAGGTATTGAAATACGGACGAACAACTGGACTCACAAGAGGATATATTGAGTTTGAAGAAACCACTGTCCGACTTTGCAAGTTTCAATGCCAATATACAATTAAGAACGATGAACATCCGTATTTACTGAAAAAGCAGATAGAAATCAGACCTGATATTTCAGAAAGTCCACAATTTAAATTGTTCAATGATGGTGGTGATTCGGGAGCTTTTGTTTTTGCTAAGGACTCCGACGATCAGTTAGCGTGTATCGGAATGTGTGTTGGAAAACTTAATTCAAATGGTATTGTAATTCCAATATCTGTTATTAAAGAGGAATTTGGTATATCACAGTTCTGTGACTTTCAAACGAAACACTTAAGTGAACAAATACAGGAAATAAACAAGGAAATGAAGATGATGAATGGGAAACTAGACAGGCTTCTTTCAAGAAAATAAAAAGTAAATAAATAGTTAAAGTAATTTTTTGAAACACATATATAATATGGATATCTTAAGAAACTCTAAAAAAAATGTCAACACGATGGGATGGAAGTCTGGAAGTCCGATAGTTCTTTTATTAATTTTACTAATATGCACACGCAACAAAAGCTGAAGGAACTCTCTGCAAAAAAGGGAGATCTAAAACTAAAGACTACTCTTTGTATGTTAAATAGTCTTATGAATAATTGCTGTGAATAATTAAAAAGAGCAAAGACAGTACGTATAGTATTGTTTGAATTAAAAACGTTATACATGATTTTATTGCGCAGCACGTTTTATGTTACATTTTGTTTTGTATAAGAAGACAATGTTACGTAGAATTGACGATCGATGAAATGCGCAAATTAATGGCATTGAGGGCTTTTTTACAAGACGTTTTATAATTTCATAAAGCTATTGTTTACACTGTATAACAATTTAACGTGTTAAACTAAGCAACCCAAACTAGTCTTGTAAGTCTTTTCTATCGATGTAAGTCTAAAACGTCTATTCCGTTTTGTTTGTAAGGTAGACCAACCCTAATGACTTCGCCAAAGTTTGTTCGATTACAATTTTACTTGTTCAAATGCGGCTACGTCCGGAAATCTCGGGTTCATGTAACACACATTTTATTTTTAAATTTAATAAAATCTGTTTGTTTATAAATATTACTTACTTGACAATAAATAAATTATTATTAGCGTATTGAATTTAAAATAATAATAATAAAAATACCAGAAATGTACCTTTCCGGTAAGCGGATATCCTGAGAGTCTTTGTTTTACGCGTCATGAATTGACGCTTTTCTTGTAATCGGAAAAAAATCTGGAAAAAATGTTATAAGCGATCATGATTGTGAAATACATGACCAGACGTCGAAAACACACACAGAAAACAACTTAATTGGCGAGATGGTAGGCGTCTGGTAGAATTTGACGTGTTACTAACCAATCCTCAGAAAGGTCTTAATGGTTACCTTTATGTTAAGTGTCAAAAACCCTGTCTGTAGATATGTTAACTCACGGTGCGTAATTGTCTCGGGCTGATTTGGGATATTTCCACGTCCCTGAACTGATTTGGATTTATGGCACCGGATTGATTAAGATAAAATGGATTTTTAGCTTGGCGAGGTAAGAATATATATATACATACGGTTTGTTAACGTTCTTTTATCAACTAGGAATCGAAAAACAAATTTCACATGTCAGAAAAGTAGTAGAAAGCACTAGCCAAAAATTGCCAAAAAATCGTTATTGTCTTTGATTGTTCCGACATTTCATAATCATATTATAGAAAAAATCATTCCACGATAACTTAGTGGTTTTAGTAAAATGATTTGTCCGGTAATGAATTTTTAGGTCGTTAGCCTACAATCAGCTGAATCCGGTGCCCTTAAAAAATTACGAGGTCGTCATAAAAGAACGTCCTATAAATTAATTAATGGACAAAACATTTTACTAAAACCACTAAATTATCGATGAATGATTTTTGTCTATAATATGATCATGAAATACCCAAAAAATCAAAGATAATAATGACTTATTGTAAATTTTATGCTAATATGTACTACTACTTCACTGACATGTGAAAGTTGTTTTGTTTTTTTCGCTTACAACTAATTAAAAACCGCGAATAAACCTTATAAAGTTGTGTATGCATTCCTTAAAGATTGCAATATTCCGCGCAAGTAGAATATTCGAAGACTTACAGTTTAATTTATATATTGTCTTACCTTGTCAAGCTCAAAATCCAATCTATCTTAATCAGTCCTCTGAAATAAATCCAAATTAGTTCAGGAACGGGAAAATGTTCCAAATCAGTCCGAAACGATTACGCACCGTGTAACTGTGTTGCATATGGGAAAACACACCATGTGAAAAAGAAGGGGACGCCCTGTTTTGATGTCAACAGAAAACTAGAAACAAATAATATATACCAATATCTTCATTTGGTACTTTATAACCAATGTGTCGCTTACTTTTTTACATTATGGAATTTTCATAATTAGTCAGTAACACATGCCACCATTCACATAATTTTAAACAATTAATGGAATTTTGATGCATTTATCTCTTTACACAGTATATTATTTTCTTGATAGTAACTTCATTGTTGATTATTATTCTGTAACTATCATTTGTATACACACGGGGGAGAATCATGCCGTTCGTTACTCAAACAAACAATATTGCAGATACAGCCGGAAAGTTTTTTCCTTTTTTCTATTCAAGTCGTGATGCTATATAGTGTACAAACAATAGTCTTCTCCACAATTTTTCGGCTATACATAATTTAATTTCTATTTTTGTTTAGTCCCGTACTTCATCTAACATACGCGTCTCCAGATCCGAAGCCAGAAAATTGTCCACCTGTTTGATTGTGGTAACGTACGGTTTCTTCTCTCAAATTCACTGGTTTTGTTTACATATTTGTTCATTTACTGAAACCAGTGACTGTAGAAAGGCGTAATATGTCGTCATCTAAACATTCATGCACATTCTTGCAAGAATATTGATATCGGAACATTTTCCTGGAAATGATAACGTATGGCGCACAAAATATCAGCGATAACGTATGCGCATTTTTCTACTTTCTACATGAAAGTTCGGTACATTGAGTGGCACCAGGGTGTTCGTTTAACCCAAGACCTCGGGTCTTGACCCTTGACAATTCTTAAATGCACTCGTTTGACCCGTCATAAAATCGACTTGTTTGTCTTTTATTCTTCAACAGAGCAATTAATTAGCAAAGAAAAAAATTCGTATATATCCCCTTTTTTCCGCATGTTACATTTTAGCTTTTTTACTACTGGTAATATATAATGAACAGCTTTATAGTTCATTAAACATTAATTAATGTATCAAAAACAGTTTCATTTTAAAGATTTATGATCCTTTCCCTTTATATCAGTAAAAATAAAATTAGCCTTTCTATTGTTTTTTTTTTGGGGGGGGGGGGTTAGAGGGTGGGGGAGGGTTGTTAAAATAAAAATGTGTTTGTGAATGCTAAAGTTCATGAATCGTCTATAGACTAGCAATGCCTGTTTATGAAATCAGCGGTAAACGGAGATATTGTTACATTGTTATTTTTCTTCTTGTTGCTTTTTACTTAATAAGGTCCAGGCTACTAAATGTGCTTTTAAGTTTTGTGTTATTAGTACATTCTTCTTCATCTATTTTAAATGTACTAGAAATGTTTTCAATGTAAGATTAAAACATTTGCATTTATTTATTCTTTCAGAAAAAGACATTGATTGATATATTAAATTTCAAACAATATTTCATTTTACATTATGTTATTTTACATTTCATTATATGCTTCATGTTTTTGTCACATTATGTCACGTGTTATTTGTATATAGTTGTATTTGTTATTGAGTGGTTTCTCTTGATTTGTTGATTCATTGTTGATGTAAAATTACAAATACGATAGATCCAATGATATATGTTACTATCAGTATTTTACATGCATGTCACGTAAACCTGAAAATGTAGATATAATTTCTTAATATGTGTTACTACACAATTTGTTTCCAATCATCATTTTATGAAGTAATTTCAATGGTGATTTGTCCATTGTATGTATGATTTCAAATTTGTTTTAAACCAAATAATTGCATGGTGCATTGTTTTACATGTGGAATTTTGGAATATGAATTTGTACATCTGTATTAAACTCGTCAAGATTTTTCTATAAAAACACTCTTCAATATAAAATAATGTTGTCCTCAGACAAACAACACATGTTTATGGCGTCATCGGTTAACGGCGATTTATTACACATGTATATTGTTATTTTGCTTGTCTTCTTTTTCTACTTTTTTTAAAAAGCGTTAGACAACTAAATGCAGATAAAGTGTGAGTACACTTTACGATGTCTGTTTCAATAAATGTATATTTCAGTGTACTATAAAAAACTTATTCTTTTATAAAAAGAAGGAGAAAAAACAACAAAACATACATTAAATTATATATGAATATAATATAATACAATTTTTCATTATAGATTCTGCGATTTTACATTTCATAATATGCTTTATGATCATGTATTTGTCAAATATATATCGTGTGCTATAATATTGTTATTATATTTGGTTTGTTTGTATTTGTTCTGGTAGAGGTTGCTCTTCATTTGTTGATTCATTATTGATGTAAAAATAAGAATATCTTTCAAACAATGATATATGTAAGTACTGTAGATATTTTTCAAGTGAAATGGCTGTCGTAGATTTTGTAAGAAAGTTTTTGTTGTTGTTTATTAAAGAATCATTTTATGAAATAGTTTTAATGGTCGGTTGTCCATTGTATGATTTCATATTTTTCTTCAAGTTGTTCCTTAATCTATAATACGTTTAAAGCTCCTTGCCTCCTAACATATTTGAAGCATATCAAACTTGTATAATATTTACTACGATTTAAAAAAAAGTCCAACGATTCAAGATTCAAGTAATAATTAACATTATGTGCGATTAATAACCCATATTGCAATAATAATATCCATATTTCTACTGCATAACTAAAAAAGTGTTTAGTGTTTTTTTCTGTTGACTAACGTTGATTGGAAGTGTCGTTATCAATGTACAAATTTCTTTGTTTATCACTTCTAAATATTTTCCTTTTAAATAATTTTTTAATTATTTCATTACAATTAGCATAAAAGGATCGCTAGGGCTACTAAAATATGTATGATAAATAAACTTAAAATTGACTATGTTTTGTCAAAAGATGGTATAATTATAAGACAACTTTTCTAATAAACTGATTCATCCGTATTTGTTGTGACATGCCTTAGTATTCTTTATTCGACCGAATAGGTCGCATTCCAAAAATCACAGGACAGTTTTATATTCTGAGCTTATGTGCACACTACGTAATTTAATTGTGTTGAATTTTAATATAAAATGGTCATAAAATATATTAGACAATGAATTTGTTCTTGCTTGATGATCAGTATGTCAAGTTTTGTTTTGGCTCAAGTATAAGATCACAATTACACATTAAACAAACATGTTATTCTATTGTTACAATAGCTATATCGCGAGCAAATCGTGTATAATGATATGCAAATTTATTTATTTTGATATACATATTGTGCCTTATTGTTTATGGCATGTTAAACGTTGCAATATTCAATAAATTTAATTTTTGGTCTATATCCAATATTTTTATTGTATAACTCTAATTTTATATGCTATACCATAATATTTATTATATCCTACTAAACATATTTGTTCATCAAAAAATATTTGTGTGCAATAATTTTCTATATGTATGTTCTATATTTGAAAAAAGATATTGTATGATTTAAAATATTTATTAGACACAGTACTGAAAAATATTTATTCGATAACTTGAATCATAGGATAGAACACTTAGCATATTAAGCCCCGCATATAAGGTATGCACGAATTTCTGATAAAGCGTTATCATCCTGATAGACTATAGTGTAGTGGAATTGGTCAGCCTCCCTGTGAATTTCACTTATAAATAGTGCATATGCTTAATTATCCTTATAAATATATATGTATATCTAAAAATGGAAATAGATTTTTATGTCTTCAGGACATACGAGGAATGATCAAATATAAACCGGACCTGGGCTGTCAATTGAAGAATTTTCAAACTTTCACTTATTGTTATATATCACAATTAATAAGAAACTATACCATATCTAATTTGATAACGCAAATAGATTGTACGTTAACAGCGAATTAAAAAACCATGGAGCACACACCCTGTGCTGTGCATAAATTTGCGCTGACAATAGGCGCTTTATGAAGCGTATATTTTCCAATATGACACAATTATATTTCAAAATACGAAACGTCATGAGCCATATTTGACGTTGTCAGAAAAATGACTTCATTTAAACCAGATTTATCTTTGCAATCACAATTTACATGTCACTTCAAAAAGAAAAAATTGCGTTAAAATTTATGCCGTTGGAACGTCACGAAATTCGAGCAATAAGAAATTGTGTCAATAGTAAGTCGAGAAACTGTCTAAAACATAGAAAGGGATAATGGAAAAAGAGAAAAGGCTAAGGTAGCCACGGCACAGTCTTTGATTGAAATAAATGACTAAGAAAGGGTGATTGAGAAATTGAAAAAAAGAAAAATAAGGGAGAGGCAGAAAGAACAACTCTTTTCTTACGTTGACATTAGAGAAACGCTTTCTTTTAGTGCTTTAAACAATATGATTATATATTATAAGAATCTTACACTGGCTGCCGGTAAAAC